CAGAATATATATCATCTACCTACTGGTTTTGACTTTTAAAATGTACTTTTCTTGGCCCAACTTTGCTTATATGTATATAATAGTGTTTTTTGGTGGAGGAGGTTATAAACATAAGCAATAAATCACCTTCCCCATTAAATAATTAAATTTATACTATCCTTTTTATACGTAATTCATATTATTAATTTATACGTAATTCATATGATGCTTAGTCTCCAAATATCTTCCCATAAATTACTTATTAATCAGACAAGTGATAAGTTGTGTGGAAATCTCAAAGATACCAAGAGACCAGACTCAGTTTCACAAAGAGGACAAACCAACATTAGATGCCTCCTGGCAGTGTGCAATGAGAACATAAGAGCCCTTCTGTGGTGTTTCTGACAAAAAATGCGTAACCAGAAGCAATCACCAGGAAAGAAATGAGGAAGTACCCAGAGTGAGAGACGCTCTACAACTCAAATGGCCTATACGCTTCACAAACTGCCAATGACGTGAACACAGAGGAGAAACTAGTGGCTGATATTCAGATGAAGACATGACTAAAATGTGCAATGCATAACTGTGGTCTAGATACTGACAGAGAAAAAAAATAGCTACAAAGGATATTCCTGGGGCAACTGGCAACATTTGAATATGGGCTGTAGATTAAATGGATCAGTGTTAAATTTCTGATTCAAAAATACAATTTCTGATTTAGAAAACTGCTGTGGTTGTATAGAAGGTCCTTGCTCTTAGGAAATAAACACTATACTGTCTCCAACTTCAACAGTTCAGAAAAAGATATGCATGTATGGAAAGAGTAAATGCCAAAGCCAATGATGCTTAATGTTAACAATGTGAATCTAGCTAGCCATGGTGGTGCACAAGTGTAATTCTAGCACTCTGGAAGGCAGAGACGAGAGGAGTGCAAGTTCAAGCCCAGCCTGGGCAACTTAGCAAAATCCTGTCTCAAATTTTAAAAAGGGCTACCCACCCTGTTCCTCAGGTCTTCTTAGGCAATCTGTATAGAAACAAGGCTTGGACAGCAACAAAGTTGGAGTCAGCAAATTCATTAATCTGTCTATATTTCTATGAACTTATTTCACTTGAATGAATATTTTCGGCTTCATTAAACTTACTGCAAGTTACTTATTTAAAAATTCAAAGTACAAATTCCAGTCTTCCCCAAGTGAGGTCCAAGGCTGTCAATAATCTTGTGCACAGACAAGTGAGCGGGCCTGATAATCTAAAGAATTTCTAAGTATGTACAGTTTTTCTAATACACTATCTTCTTAGAAAATCCAATTTAATTTCTAGAATTTAAAATATGCAAGCTCTTGTTTCTTTCATATCAAAATATATTTTTATGCTTTAGCTTTCTCTGAAAAATTCAATAATTCTTTGCTCATTCTAGCTTTTCTCTTTCCCAGTATCTCTTGGATCAAGATTACCCATCCATTCCAATCGGGGAAAGGGAACAGGAAAGGGGGGAAGGGACAAGGAAAAAAGAAAATACCCATCCATTCTGGCATAAAGCAGAGGTACTTAGAACTTGTTACCTGCTTTAGACCAAAAGGAGCCAATTTATCACAAACTGTCAAGGATCTCAATTTTTAAATTAACAAGAGCCCAATTACAGACAGAGGGAAGGAACCATCTTTCCAATTAAATTGACTGATTTCTTCACAAACTCAGTAGCATTTCAAGTTTTAATTATGCTCAGTTCAGATCAAATGTGAAAGGACTCTTCCTCATTTTGCTTTCCTTCCAAAGAACATGATACAACAGACATTAATCACAGTGTGATACGAGGCCAGGCCTGGTAATGCCTCTGGCAGAGCTGGACATCTAATCTATCAGTGGGTCTTGTCTATTTTTTAGGGTCTTATTAGCTCCTTCAGCTTTAAAAGGGAGAAAAGGAATAATTACTTGCTACCTCACAAAGTTCACCCAAAAGCATGCCAGACTTTCCAATATTGTCTACGAGGCTATGATGAAATGGCATTAAGTATTTCAATGAAGATACAGCAGGAGAATGAGGAATTAGGGATAGAACCCAATTTTGCTTCTTGTTCAAATAGAAATACAATACAGTAAGGCCCCAACTTAGGAACATTTGAGTTGCTAACTTCCACAGGTGTACCATAGAAGATTCACAGGTGTACTGGATAAGACTCACTGTTTCCGATTACAAACAATCCAACTTAGGAATGTTCTCCCGGAATGGAGACTTCTAGACTTCCTAGACTTAGGAGTTCTCCTAAGTTGGAGACTTACTATATTAGAGACAAAGGGGTGTATGGAGGTAAACATAAAAAACATGGGAACAAATTTGTTTCTTACTGAGATGGCAACAGAATGAGTATGTATTATAAGGAACTCTGAGAGAAAAAACTTCAGTTTGGGAAAGAACACTTTAAAGGATTCCAAGGAAAAGGAAGCAGCGCCACACCCACCCCCAGCCCCTGAAAGCTCCCAGACTCATGTTTGTCTACTGGGCTTTTTGCCTTTAGTGACAGGCCTGCTGGCAGGCCACCTGCACCCTTGTCTCCCTCCCCACCTCTCTCTCCCACACTGACCTCAGTTCATCCCTTGAGACACACAAGGGTAAAGTTTTACACGGTTTTCAGGAAGTTTGTGCTCCGGAACTTCCCTGTGGCTGGACAAGTGGTCCCCTGTGCTTGCAGTCAGCTATTCCCCATTTTCCAAAAGCTTTCAGACTTATAGTTCTAAGGAACCTCTAAGATTTTAAACGTCCTTATTCGACCATGGAAATTATATTGGACCATTTCAGTAGAAAATAAAATTGTATTGCATGCTAAACTTTTGAAAACATGAAAATATCCATGCAGTCAAGACTGTATGTAACTTTATTACTCCAGGTTCAGTTTGCACCCTCAGGAAGACCTACATTAGGACTTCCCAGTCATTAAGCAATTACAGTATTGAGGACCTCCTAAGGGCAAGGCAGGTGAGGAGACAGGTGAGGACCACAGGTCCTTCCCCAACAGCCACCTCAGCAGGGTGAAGAACAGAAGGGAGACACTTGACAGAATAAAGAGATCACTTTGGTGAGAACAAAAAAAAGCAAAAAGCCAACACTGTTAAACAGGAGCACAAATAAGGCTGGGAGGCTGGCAAACATCTTGAAAGGTTAGCTGGTCTGAGTGGAACTCCAGGCTTAAAACGGTATCACAGCATGGTCAAACTCCAGCCACAACCCAAGAACTGAAGCAAGACTTAAAAACAAGCCTTGGAAAAATAATAAATAAATAAAATTTAAAAAAAGCCTTGGGCAGCCCCCACCTCAGATCACCGCCCCCCCACCAACCTTCCATAGCTGTAACTCCTTGTTCTACTACAGATAAGGTAATAAGATTCTTGCTAACAGAGTCCAGTGCTGACCTGACTTCTCAGGAATCTGCCTTCCTTCAAGGCTGGCCTCCCCCTACCCCGGTACTAATAGGGAAGACAGTTACATTCCCATAAATGAAGTCTTTGCAACCTTTAAGGAACTGTATGCACTCAACAGATACAGATAAGATCGGCAACTATGTCCTGCAAACAAAGTTCATAATGCTCTGTTCTCACAAGATTCACAGGGAACAAAACTCTCCTCATGTGACGTGACTAACTTGCTTTTTATTTGCTTCTGTAACCTCGCTAGCCCAACCACTTCACGTCACTGGAAAGACCAACCCCACAATGATCAAATGTATAAAAGCTGGAACTTCTTTGTTAATGCTCTTCCTTTGAACAGGAGTCCGTTGAGCTGGTGTATACTTTAAATCTGAAATAAATCCTAAATCCTATTGGTCTCTCCTGTCTCTTGGAATTCTGCAACAGAACCATTAACACAGGAGACAAGGAGAAGGCCTTGTCAGATGCCACAGAGCTGTGACTGCCACAGAGTTCTGAGGATTTTGATGAGGAGTCATCAAAATATACGGTAAATGTTTAAATTTAAAAACATATTATAATAAAAGACACATTGCCATTAATCGCCCTCAAAATATTCTCCCTCCAAACTCACTTATCACATCATTCTTGTCACTTTCTGAAGCAGTTGGAAGTCCTTTCATGAATGATCAAAAACATGGTGAATGCCAAGTGCCATCCAACAAAAAGGCACACTCATAAAAACATGGTGTCCTCATCCCCTTATTCACCAGATCTGGTGTTTTGAATTGACCTGAGACATCAAAATAGCCACAGCAGCCAACTAAAGACACTTAAGAGGACTTCCAAAACTGAGGTAAGTGTGTTCAATACCACAGAGGTTTACAATCACACTCGAGGAAGGAGGGGTGGATCTGGACACTCAGTTGGATTTCACGGACTGACCGGCTTTTGGCTGGATTTACCGTGGTTATTCTTCACATCTTCTGTCAAGCCCTGGCTTTAAACCCTTGACTATCCGTCAGGTGAATTGGAGAGTTACTTCAACTTTCCTTTTATGGAGGAGAGAATTAAGTCTGGGAGGTCAAGAGCTGATCAGGGAACTCAACTCACCAGTGCAGAGACAGGATGAGAAATCAGTTGAGTCCTCATTACACAACCAGACATAACAGCGAGAAAGCACAAAACTGTCCCATCACTAGGCTTCTGGGAAAGGTGGACAGAGTTCACCGAACTTTACACTATGAGCATGGGAAAGTGGTTTGCTGAAAATATCTGTTAAAAAGCAAATGGAAAGCTTCCACACAGCCTTGAACTTTTAAAAAACACTTGCACAACACTCATCTTAAATTGGATCAAATTACTCTTATCAGGTGCTATTTTCAGACTCTAGCTTTTCCAGCAACAAATTTAAAAAATAAATATTTGTCTAAAAGGCAGGTAGAGAAACTCGCTAGTAAGGATTTCAGTGTTTGAGAACTTTAATATTCTCCACGTAGTCAACATGAAATACTGACAAGAGATTAAACAGGGGGAAGGACCCTTCACAAAGACCTTCTGGAACTCACAGCATCACTCTGGTTAATCACTGCAAGGATAACAGCCAAGTGAACAAAGGATAAGGGAGTCAACAGATTTTTAGTTTAATGGCATAAATGAAAAGCAAAGAACCAACCATTTCTTCCACATGTTCAACAGAGAGTAAAAGTGAATTGTGGAACTTCTAGAGCCTTTTCATAAAGCAGCACATGGACAGGGATTTGACAAACTTGAATAGTCTCTGCGTGTATCATAAAGAACTGCTTTATTAGAAATATAACAGCATAGAGATATAAACTGTATGGTATTAAAAAGAGACCTTGTGGGGCCGGGGATTGAGCTCAGTGGTTTCACTGCCTGCTGCGCAAGCGCAAGGACCTGAGTTCAATCTTCAGTACCAAAAAAAAAAAAGAGAGAGAGAGACCTAGTATATAAACATTTATATAGTAAGTCACTTTTCTCTTCATAAGAATAACGATATAAGGAGAGATCTACTGTCTGCCGTTTGCCTTGAACTTCAAAGCACTCACCACATTGTCAACACCGACCTTCACCAACAGCTCTGGAGGCCAAGAGACCCCACCACTGTCTCAATTCAAAACTACACCTCGGCCCCCAAACCGTTGCTATGTTTGTGTGACTCCAGAAATAACTGCCACTGGCACAGTTAAGTCCAAGGCAAATTCCAATACTGCCATCTACCTTATAAAAAACAGCAGCAGCTGGGCCGGGGATTTAGCTCAGTGGTTCTGCTGCCTGACTCACACACGCAAGGTCCCAAGTTCGATGCCCAGTACTAAAAAAAAAGCAGCAGCAAAGGCAAAATTAGACTGGAATTCGTTAGAAAAGCAATGGAAAGAGTTTTTAAAATGCTTCCGGTTCAGGTCAAGATTAAGGTAGCCATTAGCTGGTGGTCCTGTCAGCTTTGCAGAACTCTAGATGTTTTGCTGTTTTTTGCAAAAAGAAGAATCTGTAAAAACTATGATCATTTGAAAAAAATGTGTTCTTCATGTTTTTGCAGCCATTTCCCCAGTTACTCTAAACTTCACTGCTCAAGCGCAGAGTACAAACCAGTTAGGATGTGTTCAGAGTTGATGCATTTCCAAAAAATTTTCCATGAAGGCAGCCAGCTTCTTAACATCTTCAACTGTGACGGCGTTATACAGAGAGACCCGGATGCCTCCCACCGACCTAAAGTGAGATCAAACAAATAAGAACAGAAGCATTTGGGCTGGGGTCTCACTCAGTGGTAAAGCACTCGCCTAGCACACGAGGCCCTGGGTTCATCCCCGGCACTACAAAAAAACAAAACAAAACAGCAACAACAGCATCTAATTTAACTTACCATCACCACAACCCTTTCCCTCATTACTGCTCCTGAGACAAAGCTCCAAGTCCACAGTGCCCATTGTCCCACCTGAAAAGCCCTACAGGTGGCAGAGAGCTTCCAACACTTTCATTAGAAAAGTTTCCCTTATGCGAGGATGATCCATCATGCTCACATTTGGATTGACTCAAACTATTCACTCCGGACACATGAAAAATTAGATGAGGGCAAGAGTAGAAAAGTCAGATAGACAGCGACCAGTTCACCACATCATTCCAGAGCTCACCCAATAGTGCTGGCCACAGGGGTGGCAGACAGCTCACTGCTGCTGTTGCTCTCATGCGTAAAGACAACTGCTGTCTAGAGTCTGCAAAGTTAATCCTCTATCTGATGTTGCTGGAATCCCAGCAATGTTCTCAAACCGGATCGGGCTAGTGTCAGCTTCATCAAGAGACTGCACGGCAGGCTCTGTGCTGTAAGAGCTGGCTAAGAGATTTTCACAGCTGACTTTGGACAAAAGCCCCATGGATGATGCGGCTCCACCTACCCTCCTAGCTGGGAACCAGACCCAAGGGTTCTGTAGATGGGAGGCATGCACAGCCCTAGGGCAAACAGACTTCCCCGAAGTTAAGAAAGTACCAGTCCAAGCTGATTAGGCTCTTGAATTTGTTTCATTCTGCATTTGAAAAGGGAAACCAAATCTCTGGCTAGCTTCTGGATAAGGGGTGTACTTACCTATGCCCTTTCAAGGAGATCATATTGAGTTCAAGTGCTTTATCAAGGAATCTTTTCTCTAGCGCATCATCTCCCTTGGCACTGCCAATGCGGAATGGAATATTCATCTTGCTTCTATTCTGGGGCTCCACTGGACATCTGAAACCATGTTTATTATTTTAGCTACTTCTCTGAAATGCATGGGCTATCATTAACAAATCTACAGGCTTAAAAAAATTTTTTCTAGATGCAAGTAGGAGATTAAAGCAAAAGAAAGAAAAATCTTCCCCCAGAGGGCCAAGCAAGTAACTGCTAAGAAGGCTGACAAGCTTCAGAGCAGACAGCAGGTCAGGACAGAGGGAAGAAGGGATTTCTGGCACAGAACCGCACTGGTGAAGACCTGGAGGCCACCTGCAAGTCCTCTGGCTTCACTGAGGCGTTGGGATCCTGGGGAGGGTGTGGCTGCAAAGCCCGAAGGGACCCCACAGACAGCTTTACTGGAACTACCCTGGATCCTTGAGGGATAAGGAACAGTAATAGGTCACTGTCGCATCCTACACTGAACTTGCTGATCTTTAATTCCGTGCTGCCTCTGTGCCCAGCAGAGTACCGGGGAGAGGGTGGCCACTGGGACACAAAAATCCTCGGTCAACGAGTGAGTTCAAGTATTGACGAATGCTGCAAATGTGGCTTCAGATTTGTCCAAACTTACACTTCCATCCTGTGCTCTGGTTGGTTGGTTGGTTGTTTTTCTCTATGGTACTAGAAATTAACCCTGGGCCTTTGCACTAAGCCATATCCCCAGCCTGTTCTGTTTTGGTTTTTCAGACAGGTCTTACTCCATAAGTCACTAGGTTGTCCAGGCTGGGCTCAAACTTGCAGTCCTCTTGCCTCAGGCTCCCAGAGTGCTGGGATTATAGGCAAAGGCGACCGTGCCCTGCCAGGCCCTGGGTTTCACTTAGTTATTCTTCATTCAGTTGTGGCTTCTTCTGTATTAAGGCTAGTAATCTTTTTATGTTTTATATGATTTTATGTTATATATTTCAAATTTTTCCTCTTGTCATTTGTTGTTTCATGTCTTCAATTATGTAACATTTTTAAATTTTCATGAAATTAAATGTCATTATTTCAATGCTTTCGAGTTTTGTTGCTTATTTAATAAGGCTTTCTGTACTCTTAGACTTACAAATTCTCACCAATATTTTCCTGTAGGATTTTTATAATTGTTTATTGCCTTTAGATCTTTCTGACTGTTTAGATTTTATTTTTGAGTATGGTGTGATCCAAATAATTCTAAATTTGTTTACATGGACTGTCATTGCTTCAAACAGTATGTTATGAATACACTTTTCATCTAAGTTAACATGTAATTACTTCTTAAGTAAGTACAAGTGTTTCTGGATTTCTTTTTTTTTTTTTGGTACCGGGGATTGAACTTGGGTCCTTGCGCTTGCGCAGCAGGCAGCAAAACCACTGAGCTAAATCCCTGGCCCTGTTTCTGGATTTCTATCCCACTGAACCACTGTCTCCTTGTGATGGTGCTGCAGTTTAAATTAATATGGCTTTAACAAATTATAATAGATCATTTGGTAGTTTGTCCTTAAAATTTTCAGCTGTCCTTTTGCTCAAAATTGGAACAGATTTTGTCTGATCTAGAAATTTCACAATTTTTGTGGCTATTGTGAATTCTTTCCTTACTACATACATAAATGCTACTTGTAGAACATGGAATCACAACAGACTCTTAACACACTGAGTTCTTACTGCTCACAATTCTGCACTTGATCATTTCTACATTTTTCTGTTGACTCTTGCACTGTTAAATAGCAAGTCACACCATCTGCAACCTGCTTTTTCCCATTTCCTCGGTGTGATAATTAAAGAGGACCACAGGCCCTGGATGAGCACTCATGGGCCCCACCAGCCCACATTCGTACAGTGGCTGCTCCATTTCCCAGCCATAGCCTTAATCAGTCTGTGCCTCCACCGGGTAGGCTTTGAGTCTAGGTCACAGGGCAGCAATGACAATAAAATGCAATCCTATGAATACACTGCCTACAGACCCACCTACTTCGTTTCATTTTAGGGTCTTTACTAGGCCCATCATACACATTTCTTTCCTAAGGCCTGGTCTTCATAGAAGGTAACCTCACATCTGGACACAGAATCTGTGGCTTGGACGTCCTTATAATAATGAAATTCATATCAACATATGTATTAAGCAGTGTATGTCATGAACAAAGTGCTCTACGCAATAATAACCACAAAGAGTAATATTAAGAGCTAACAGGTGAAGAATGCTCACAATGTGCCACTGTTTCTCGTGCTTTATACAAATAAACCAGCACAAAAGACTGTTTTTAACCTTTATATTATATACACCATGCTCACTTACATTTCCATTTAGTCCTAAGAGATATGTACATTATCATGCCCATTGTACAGAGAGGCTTAACTCAGGTCATTGGACCAAGGTCACATGGTATAGGTTGCAGAGGGCTTCTAACCCCAAGATGCTAGGCCACCCTGCCCCTCACTGGCTCAACGCCAAGTCACCAATGCTATGGGGTGGTTAGGCTGTGGAATGAATCGGACTTCTAGGGTTGTCTTATCTAATCTCAGTGGCAGCCTGGGCCAGAGTGGGTGCTCAGGAGCCACTGGAGGGAGGGAGGAATAGACAGATGGATGAATGGGTTGGTGACTGAGTGACTGGGTGGGGTGGACAGGTAGGTGGACAGATGGCTGAGTAAATACTTGCTAATCGAGTAGATAAGTGGACATGTACACAAATGAGTGAACACATGCACTGACCATGTGCTCAGACTTTTCCATACCTTGCTTTTCAATCCAGCATAGCCATCTTCACCAGACAATTAATTGTCTCCAAACACACTCTACCTTCTTCCCTTAGTGCCTCTGGGGGTCATCACTTCCTTCTTAAAAATCCTTCCAAGTATGCCTGCCCTCTTCTCTGCCTAATCTACTCACACCCAAAGGTTTGAGCTCATCCTAGAGATCTCCCTTCCCCTTCAGCCATTCCCCTGTTTCAAGCTTACTTACGTGCACTGTTTGTAGCCCTTGGCTATGAACTCCTTGGCCCATCTAGTGCTAATCCTGCATGTTAAAACCGCTCCAGCAAGCACTGCTGGGGGCTCCCAGCCTTCTCCTGTATCAGGGACTAGGAGAGAGACTCTCAATCTGCCTTGTCTCTGTTGCACAGAAGCAAGGGCAGCAGAAAGGTACAGTGTGCATCCTTTCCCCATGAGATGGCAATGCAGAGGAAGCCAAAGGCCAAGGCATCTAGCCAAGCCCAACTCCCCCAGGGCTCACAGCTGGAAGCCCATTGCACACCAAGAACGCACAGGAGCAGGCAACAAGCATTTTAGAGGAAAGGCCACGGCAACACACTGCTTTGTCCTAGCTGTCCAAAGGGTATGCTCTCACTCGTTAGCCATGGTAGGGGGCAACTCTTGGCTAAAACACAAGTCTAACTTGTGTCAGGACTGAAGCATCTTGTTTTCTATTGCATGTGGCCTATAAAATACTCAGACTGTGCAAATTCCCTCCTTACCATCAGGAAGATATTTTTGTTACAACAAATTGAATCTCAAAGAATAATAACCACCATGAATAGGGGTCCTGCCAGGCATAGTGATGCATGCCTATAGTCCAGCTATTCAGGAGGCTGAGGCAGGAGGACATCAAGTTCAAGTCCAGCCTGGACAACTCAGCAAGAACCTGTTTCAAAATAAAAAATGAAAAAAGCTGAAGATGTAGCTCAGCACTCCCTGGGTTCGATCCCCCGTACTACCCCAAAAAAAGAAAGCCAGAGGGGGTGCTGGGGGTCCCAATCCATGTGCAGTGGCACATACCTATAGTTCCAGCTCTCAGGAGGCTCAAGCAGGAGGATCGCTTGAGCCCAGGACTTCCAGGCCAACTTGAACAAAATAGTATATAAGACACAAAAAAGAAAAGGAGGGCCCTGGCTTGGCTTGGTAGCCAAGTATAAATGTTAATGTATGTGTATTAATTGTATGTATAAACGCACACAGTGCACACATCACACACATACACATCATGAAGTCTGGTCCTTGATAAATGTTTTTCCCAGCAACACACAGTGGAAGGAGGGCGGAAAAGAGTCTACCCCAGGGATCAAACTGAGATTCTTCCTTAGAGTAATATCTCTGCAGTGAGAAATGTCACCACCCACTGGACACAGGTCCCAAAGTCTCGGATTCCTGGGGTGGAGAGCAGCAGGCAAGAATTCAACTCCCATGCTCAGGGGGCAACAAGACTAGCCACGTATATGCACCAGTACATCAGTGTTATAGAGAAAGGTAAAATACGGTCATTTTTAAAAAGGTATAGTTTTCAATTCATAAGAGGCAAAATATGAGATGAAATCCACTGACTTACACATAGAATCCTTGAGAATTATCAATAATGTCATAGATCATCTTAGATTTGATGGAGCTGAGCTTCTCCATGTTTGCTGCCCCGCCATTGTTCTTAATCCACTCCAAGACCACGCCCATGACATAGATGCTAAAATAGAGATGAAAACAAACATCTATTTATTTCACCTTTGCAAAAGTGAAAGACATTCAAAAATTGCTGTTAGAACTGCATTCAGACAGATAAAAGCAGGTCACATGTAAACAAGAGAATGTCACAAAGCCAGGACAAGGGTCAACCCAGATCCCAAGGGCCACTCCAAGGGGCACCTCAATATAGTCTCACCAGTCCCTCCCTGCCTAGCCCACACCCTAACACAGACTCCCCATGACACCTGGACCACACCACCCAATCCCCAACATCATCAAAGCTCATCTCCCCAACTCTACCCAGCATTAACTCCTCACTTCCTGAATTCCCACAGCCCCTTGCCCATACTACCTGCAGTCTTCTTCTACTACTCACCCTTTTATTTTATGCTTCTGTGTGCCCATGTTTGGGAATCTAGTCGTGGAAGGCTGGAAGCTCACACCATTCACCTTTTCTATCCCCTAAGCCCTAGATCAGTGCCTTCTTCCTAGCAGAGTCAGTGTGGCATAGTAGCTAAGATCACAGGCTCCATGTCACAGTCCTGATTCCAGTCCTAGTGCTACCAAACATACTACACAGGATGAATCACTCAGGAATCTGAGCCTTGGCTTTCCCACTGAGAACAAGAACCACCTACTTAAGGTGGGCACTTAGCATTCTGCCTATCCTCCTCTTCTCAAATCCACCCTCCCACCAAATACGCAGATTCCCAGCGAGCCTTCCCCCTCTAGACCAGATGGGTGTAGGACCTAACCTGACCAATCAGAAATTTCTCTGGAGCCAGGGTGGTGGTACATGCCTGTCTTCCCAGCAGTCAGGAGGCTGAAGCAGGTGAATTGTGAATTTGAGGCCAGCCTGGGCTACAAAGCTAGTTCAATGTCAGCCCAAACTACATAACAAGATCCTTCTCAAACAAATGAAACGACAAAAATAGAAACTTCCCTGAGATTTCTCACCTGGGAGTGAGGAAAAAAGCAAACTGAGTGCGGGTGCAACTGTAAGATACAAAGTAAGTGCACTGGGGAATCTCATTTCTAGGAAACATTTAAAGGAAGCTCATGAGACACTGAAGCCAACATTTCAGCTGAGAGGAGCCAAGATCAGAAGTGGACAATAAACAGTGGAGGGCATGTGTTCCTGGTTCCAGGGTGTCCTGCTGTACCACAGCCCTCACTATAGCTTGGGACCATCCTTTTCTGAGCCAAGTACAGTAGACCCTCCAGTTACAACCGGCCTAACATACGATCAACTTGAGTTACGATCGGAATTTTAGTTTTAACTTATGAACAAAGTCTTGAGTTATGACCCAAATGCTGGCTGCTTGTGCTTCCAGATGGTCTCAGATAGATTTAACCCTTAAAAAGTTCTGGAAGGAACATTACAACATCCTTTCCTGTGTGGGGTTAACTGAGAAACCCTGGGCCACTGTCTAAGGACACCCAGAGCTGCCTGTGTACAGGAGCGAGACTTTGAAGGCTGTGTAGAGGAAACTGAGCCTTCAATAACCTCTCGAGGAAAAAAAAAAGAACAACCTCTCCAGATTCTGCTGCCTGGCTCCTCAGGAAACCCTGGGATGAAAGGGCAACAGCAGCCAATTACTGATAGAGGCAAGAGGGAGAAGCAGAAAACAGCTTCAGATGGGGCTCCCAGGCTATAGACTGCGAAGTCAGGGGACAAAGGAAGAGGAGAAACACAAGGAAATGAACCTCTGTAGCCTCCAACTATTTTTACTGATCACATAATCCTAAGGTCAAAGTCTGCTGTATCATACTTTATAGCTTAGGAAACAGGTTCAGGGACCTTCATTTCCCTGAAGTCATCCAGGGACTGGCCCTCAAAGCCACTCTAATGCCCAAGCTTTTCTCGCTAGCCCCAGAGCCATGTGGTCAGCCAAAGGCTTCCTGCTTCTACCACTAGCTCACCTGCTAACAGGGCAGCTGGGCTGTCCCCAAGCCTCAGTCACAGCCACTAAGTCCAGCCACTTCAGTGTGCACGTGGTGTAGGTTAACAAATGATGCTGCCAACCTCTCTGCTCTGCAAAATGGAATCTCTTAAGACTCCACTGACTCGAAACTGCTCCTCTCCCACACTGCAGCCTGCTCAACTACCACGAACCACAGAAACACACCCTGACGTGCTGTGTGATCCAGGCAGACCCTTAACTGGTAGTTTCAGGAAACTAAGCTTTGCCTTCCCCTGCAACTCTGTTATTCAAGAATTTCATGTTTGTTAATTCTCCAAGTCCAAAGCTTCGGTATGGACCCAGTACAGTCTACTGTCCTGGCCAGGTGTCAGGAATGACACACGAACCCTCAGGTAGCTGCTGTGCTGGGACTCACTGTCCACAGTGTTTTGGCTTGCTTCAGGGATCTGAGTGGACAGAAAACAGAAAGCCCGCCCGCCTCTACAGCCAGCCAGCAGCCAGTGCTGGGTCTAAAAAGCCTCAGCAATGGGCAGCTAGGTCAGGAGGAAGCAGCTATCCTGAAGACAAGAGTCTGGCTCTGAAGTGGAAGGTCCTGCCCCACTTTCCCAGCTCCCTGCATAGCACTGATCTGTGGCCCCTGTGACTGCTCACCACGAGGCCCTTTTGGCTCCCAATTCATTCTTTTTGGGGGGGGGCAGGGGGGTTACTGGGGACCGAACTCAGGTCCTTGCGCTTTCAAGGCAGGTGGCAGAACCACTGAGCTAAATCCCCAGCCCCCAATTCATTCTTAACTCACGCTTTGACCCTCTACAATCTAAAATCTTGGAACCACAGGATCTTACAATGCCTATGCAGTTTTGCAACTTGGTCTCAATTCTGCCCACTACCGCTTTTAACAGGTCTGTGCCTTCACTTCTAAAATGCCACCCACAAACACACGGGTTTATCATCTAAGCCTGCCTGTCAAATGTTTACAGTACAACTGTTCTCCAGAATTCCATATAGCTATTAAAAGAAAAGGGAGCTGGGGATTTAGCTCAGTGGTTCCGCCACCTGCCTCACAAACGCAGGGTCCTGAGTTCGATCCCCAGTACCAGAAGAAAAAAAAAAAAGAAAGGGAAAAAATGGTAAGCATTTGAGCTCACATGGCAGTGTGCCCAAGCTGTACTGCTGGGTGGAAAAAAGGAATTCACGTAAGAACTCCATCTGCACAATTAAACACATGGCTCTACACACAGCTGGCCCTCTATAGTTGTACCTTCAGTATCTGTGGATTCAACTAATCTGGGACAGAAAATATTTGGGGGAGGGGAAGTATCTGTACTGAACATGCAGACTTTTCTTCTTGTCATTATTCCTTAAACAATATAGCATAACAATTATTTTCATAGCATTTACACTGGACTAAATATTGTAAGTAATCTGGAGATAATTTAGGGTATGCAGGAGGATATGCACAGATATACACAAAAGCTACACTTTTTTTAAAAAAAGACGGTCTTGCTAAATCTCTAAGTTCTCAGCCTGGGCTCAAACTTAAGATCCGGGTCTTGCCTCAGCCTCGTAGAGTGCTGAGATTTCAGGGATGTGCCACCACCAGAGATGCCCAGCTTTACACCATTTTCAGTAGGCGACTTGAGCTTCTGATAATTATTATCCACAAGGGTCCTAGAACAAATCCCAGACAGACACACCAAAAGGTAACTGTATTATACCAAGTAAAGATTTTTTTAGGGTACATAGCAAGCAGTTAAGAGTGATCACACTGGTGACTCTTATATGGAAATCTTACATACACGTTTATGTTACTTTAATAAATTTTTTAAAGCAATATAAACCATTCGCTGTGAAAAGCACAGGCTTAGAAAAGCACACCAGGAAGTCCTGGGTACTCCTCCCTGGCTGACTGAAAGATTCTGACTCTAGAGATGAGCTCTGGACTAGAGGCTACAGACACAATTTTGCAAGCGAGGACCTGGAGAAAGCAAGCACAGTCACACGCTTTGCCACCCTCTGCAGTTCCAGAACTGTGGGCTCCTCCCATCCCAGCTGGGGAAGGCACCCCGGGGAGAACTAAGCCCTTTGGAAGGCTCCACAGGCTCCGCCTGCACCTCCCTTTCTGCTAAGAAAGATGGCCAGACTGACAATGTTTTCATTTCATATTTTCATTGAAGCAAAAATAACTAGATTAAAAATGCAGCTAAATACTGCAGCTAAAACAGATTTATGCTTTGGGTTCAGTTAATCATGGTAAGTAAAAAATGTTTTGTGGAAAAAAAAGTGTTTTGTGGGGCTAGAAGGGACATTCAGGCTTCCTTTCCTCTACTCATTAATTACCTTCAATACACCCACAGGAAGTGTTACAGAATGACTGTGGCCCTTTATTCTACCCCAGTGTGTTGCTCGGGGCTACAGAGCAACTATTTGCAGCTCAGTTTACCCAGCACAGTTAAAACAAAGTTCCCAGGGCCTGCAGTCTTTCAGCTCTGACAAAAACAAAACCACAGGCATCAGTTCAAACTCCAGCCCTTATCTACCTAATGATGACAAAGTCCTAGGAAGGAGTTCTAGGTGCCTCAACAGCCTTACACAGGACTGGGGAGGACACTTAAGCATAAATCCTGATGTCTGTATGTGGAGATGGCTTATAGGCACTGCAACCAAATTCTAGTCCAAGTCATCTTCCAAGTCATCAATTCCTGCGTATTCCTATGTTTTGTGGGGTTTTTTGTTTTGTTTTTTGGGGGGGATTTGGTACTGGGGGGGGGATCAAACTCAGGAGCCTGTGCTTGCAAGGCAGGCGGCAGAACCACTGAGGCAAACCTCCGGTCCAGAATAATCATTGGGGTTTTTCTGTTGTTCTTTTGTCTGTTTGGTACTGGGGATCAAACTCAGGACCTTGCACTTGCAAGGCAGGCGTGGTAACGCTGAGCTAAATCCCCAGCCCCCTCCTGGGTATTCCTAATACACACAGAATTGCATACTTTTGTCTTCTTTGGGAATAAAAGCAAAGCAACCTCCAGGGGGCACCTTGGAGTCAGAATCTCATCAATTCTAATCCTATCATTAAGAATCCTGACTACTCTAACATGTTCTGATCTGTGGGGGCCAAAGAACCGTCGCCCCTTTTCAGCCCTTGTTTCTGGCTCAGCCCCCTCCTGGGACAGGAAAGCCCTAGGGAAGGGGTTCCTGTGTCTCCCCAGTGGACCAGCTGAGGGGTCAAGGTCAGGCCAAGCCTGGGATAAGGGGGAGGCTGGCAGGGCAGTCGCTCTCTTTCCACATCTCCAGCCATTTTCACCTCCCATTAGATATCTGGTCTGCTTTCTCACTGTTTCCACTAAGCAGTTTTCACCCAATACTAACAGCATATTTATTCATGTGCTCAGCATACTTTTGAAAAACATGTTTCAAGGTAATTCTTGGAGAAGTGCAGAGTACATGGCTCACCCTGGCCCCTGCCACCTGCCAGCCTGGGCTAAGCCCTGCTCAGAGCTTGCTGGCCTTGAGGGACATTTCAGGGACAGGCCTTTTTCCCTGTTTCCTCCCACCCTCTCAGTTTTCAAGATGGTAGTGGCCTTGACCTATCCCATCAACTCAGTAACTGTGAGAAGGCTCTGGCCCCACCTAACAGGTAAGGAGCCCACCTCCTCCCTCCTGCCCCAGGTAGCCCTGCACCCTGCACTTTGGGTCCCCAACAGTATAGTCCCCAATGGCCTGCCTAGTTCTGTTCCAAAACTGCCCAGTACCCAGTGGTGTTTCCCTGCTGCCTAGAACCTCATGCCTGGGTAGCAGGTGACAGAATTCAGGCCCACACCCCTACCACTCACTTTAGAAACATTTTCAGCTGCGCTGGGGGAGAAGGGCAGTGTTAGAAGTGCCCAAGAGAGTCCGGCCCAGAACACCCTCCTCCTGAGGAAAGTGGGGTCACGCAATGAGGAGCTGCTTAGAGGTCTCCACTGGAACGCTAACTTTGGGAAAACTCCTTTCTTACAGCAAGTTATAGCATAGGAAACATGGCCTAGAGGCAGTGCCTAGGGAGGAGAAAGCTCTGACAAAGTCAAGACCAGGTGAAACCATCCACTATACTGGCCTGACCCTAGCCTGGAAGAGAACTTCCAGACAAAAATCCAACTGAGCCATATGATTGGACTTCCACAGGCATCTTCCTCCTGAGATGGAATTCTTCAAACAAACAAATGCACAGACCATTCTGCTTGCAAAGAGCACTGGGTCTATGGGGTGTACACACCCAAGCTGTCAATCACACTGCACTGCCAGAGCCCAGATCCCAGCAATGCCACTTGTGAAAACATGACCTCAGCTCCTCGCTTGCAAAACAGGAGTAAGAATCACAGTGCCTGACCTCCAGGGTGGCTGGAGGATTAATAGGGTCCACCCACACTCTTAACATCATACAACCTATGAGGATAAATCCATAAACTGACTCTTTCTCTGTGTCTACCCCTGCTGAGTCTCTGGGAACTAATAACAATAAAAAGAAAGCAGCTAACATTTACAAATCACCAAGTGCCAGGTATTCACTATGTACAAAGCACGTATCAACTCACTGGGTCCCCACAGTACCCCAGAAGAAGGGTACTACTACTGTCACTTCGAGAGGAAACTGCTGGTTCAGGGACTTCCCAGAGGTCATAGAGCTACTAAACAAACTTTCTCAGACAGTGGTTAAATCATGAAGACTTCCCCAAAACATCCAAGTCTAGGAGCTGAGGCTGTGGAGCAGGGCAACCCTGCTCTCCCTGCAACACTTCAAAGCAGAGGCCCACTCAGCTAAGGGTCAGCTGCACTACCAGGACCTCTCCAGACTGGTCTTCAAAGAGGAAAAGTGTTACAGGCCAGTGCCGTCAGGCAGTCAGCTCACACAGGCCTAGCAGGTAAAGAAGTGAAAGCCAGGGGACTGTGGAAGGCCTTCTGGGAACATGCACTGGTTGTCTGCGGTGCAGGCCGCAGGATTTCATCTACAGAGAGCTCTGAGTTAATGGTGAACCGCCAAAGCCTGGACTGCCAAGATCAAAAGAGCAGCATACTCTCCAAAGTCAAAGTGCAGGAGAAAAACTGATCAAACAGTGGGAAGAGGGCCAAAAAAGGAGGGGAGCTGGGCAGAGCCTGACAGGGCCTTAGGTCACCACTCACAGAAGGTGCTAGGCTTTAAGAAGTCACCACCCCTTGGATGGGAAGTACTGAGGCTCCCCAAAGGGGTCCCCAGCACTGTGTCCGACAGTTACCTGAAACATGGGGGCGTGTTGTACAATGAGCTGCTCAAAGCCTGTGCTTTGTACTCCAGGACTGAAGGGCACTCCCTGAGGGCAAACCCCAGCAGGTCATCGCGGATAATCACCACTGTGACCCCGGCACAGCCAACATTCTTCTGGGCACCGGCAAAAATCACACCAAACTTAAAAAGAGAAAAGCATACGATTTTAGGAGTATTCATGGTCATTTTCATCAGTGCATGCAAACTTTCTCTTTGCAAACTAGCGCTTATTAAAGAAACTACTATCCCTGCTTAGGAAGCGTGCACCTGGGCCAGCATATCAGTACACACCAGCAATCAGCCAAGGCCTAGCTCTTGTCTGCAAGGGCTACTCAAGCCCAGCACCGAAGTGGCCTCAGACACATTCACGTTCTCAAAAGCCTCCATTCCCCGGCCAAACGAGCCCTCAAACTAGAGCTGCTCCCTGGGGTGCAGCTCAGTGGTACAATGTACACTTTGCATGCACCCCCAACACCGAAGAAAATAAAATAGTGAATAGGCCCTCTGAGCTGGTCTCGATGGCACACACGTAGAGCTCCAGAACTTTAGGAGGCTGTGGCCAGAGGATCAAAAGTTCAAGCCCAGGGCCGAGGATTTAGCTCAGTGGCACCGAGCCTGCCTTGCAAGCACAAGGACCCGAGTTCCATCCCCGGTACCAAAAAAAAGAACAGTTGTTCTTATTTTGCCGGAGATTTAGCTCAGTGGTTCCGGTGCCTGCCTCGCAAGCACAAGGTCCAGAGTTCGATCCCCGGTACCAAAAAAAAAACAAAAAACAAAAAAAAGGCAGTTCTCAGGCAGGCGTGGTGGCACACACCTGTGAGTCCAGCTATTCAAGACTGAGGCAGGAGGCCACATTTAAGGCCAACCAGGGCAACTTAATGATACTCTATCTCAAAATAAGAAATGGCTAGTGATGTAGCTCAGTGATCGGGCTCTTGCCTAGCACGTGCCAGGCCCTAGTTCAAGTCCCAGTACCCTCACACACACATACAAACACACACACACACACACACACACACACAGTTCTGACACATGCTTCGATATAAGCAAACCTTAATGTTATTATGGTGAGTGAAATTAGCCAGACACCAAAGTGTAAGTATCACATGATTCCACTTACAGGAGGTCCCTAGAGCAGCTCAGCTCACAGACAAAGTGGAAAGGTAGCTGCCAGGGGCCAGGGACTGGGGTCTGCGGGAGTGACTGTTTCATGGGTACAAAGTTTCAGTCTGGGAAAATAAAAAAGTTCTTAGAGAGGGATGGTGTGTGTCTGCATAACAAAGTGAATATTCTTTTTTTTTTTCAAAGTAAATATTCTTAATACCAATGTAATATATGCTTAGCTTAAAGATGGTTAAGGCCAGGTGTGGTAGCACATGCCTGTAACCTCAGCAACCTGGGAGGGAGGCTAGGGCAGGAGAAATGCAGGTTCAAGCCCAGCCTAGGCAACTTAGCGAGATTCTGCCTCAAAATAAAAAAGGGCCTAGGGATGTAGCTAAATGCGAAGGTCCTAGGTTCAATACCCAGTACCACAAAAAAAAGTTAAAGTGATAAACTTTATGTTAAGCATACTATACCACACTTTAAAAAAAAAGTAGACTATCATCTGGCTGGCCTGACTGTTGCTTTACATTCTTTACAGACAATGGGCCCTGACCATACACACCCAGTACAGGGTCAGGCCACCTGCAGAGTCTACACATCCTGTGTACACTTCTCGTGTCCAAGTGCCTGTAGCACGGAAGTGGGGGCTTCACACAGGTGCCCTGCGCTGGGATGAATGGCATGTGCCCTTGGAGAGAACAAGCCACTCCCAAAAGCAGAACTTGAGCGTAGCCCAGGATCTGGGAATGACAGGATTTAAACTTCCAGACAGCTAGTGACAAGCAACTGCCATCCTGCTCACTGACGTCGGCCTTGTCTTCGGGGGCTCTATTAGCCCCAGCCTCCCATGGCCTTTCCTGTTCTCATAAACTGAAACACCCCTGAAGAAACCAAGTCAGCCTCATTTATGCTCTACCTTGGAAACATCCACTGGCCTGGATAGGAAGTTGGAGGACATGTCACAGACGAGGACCGCTCCCTTGACGTCAGGGATGAAATCAAACTCCACACCGTGTACAGTCTCATTTGCACAGAAATATACATAGGAGGCGTCCGGGTTGAGGGTCCAGGTGCCTGGGTCTGGAATTTCTATCACAGAAGACAAATTTAAGTGCTCGCTTTGGCAGCACCTATACAGAAGACAAATCTGAAACTCTGCCTTTTGGCTTGAGTTTTCCTTATGTAGATGAGTGTCAACCAGGAGACTCAGCAGTTCCCCCTACAGTGAGACTGACTCCAAAGCATTCTCAAGTAAAAGCACCTTCTGTTCTTCCATTACCATCCCCACCAACATCCTGAAGGATGACCCTTCACACCCTCGAATGTACTGGGCACAAATAACCTTTAGAAATGGCATACAGGATAGTGAGGTTCATTCCTGTCCCTAGCATCCATCCATCCTACCTCCACTGAGAGTCTAGTGGTTTCTTCCTGAGACCCAGCCCTCATCTTTCAGCCCATGTGGCTCCAGGGCTCCAATCAAATCCACAGACTCAGAGGCGGAATGGGACTTAGGTGCCGCCATGCTGTCTGATTCACACCGGTTACCTGAGACTTTCCGAGAAGGCCCCAGCAAAGGCAATGAAAGCTGGGAGAATAGTAGGGAAGGAGCAGCTACAGCCATCTTCCAGAAAGGGGGGCGGGGGGACACACAGCCATTTCTGACTGTGGAGCCATCAGGAGGACACAGGAAGACACCAGACCTGGAGGGGCTGTCAGGCGCCCTGAGTGAGCCACACCTAAAGCCAAACCCAGCCCTCGGCTTTTCAGTAAAGTGCACCTATGAAAACCTTTCCGCAGAAGCTAGTTAGGAGTGTTCTACTACCACAGCCACCCAATCTAAATGGCGTCCAGCTAAGTACTGACAAGGCGAGGAGAGCACGAAGAAAAGTGGATTGCCCCAGGCATGGAAAGCCCAGCAGTCAGCTCTGCGCTGCCAGGTCCCAGAACTTACTGGTATAACTCCCAAGTTTAGGGTGGACAATATTCACAGTCCCAAACTTCTTAGCTTCTTCTGCAGCCTTAGCTGACCACGCTCCTGTCACCACATAGTCAGCACACCTTCCAGCTTTCAGGCCAATCAGGTTCAAGGGGACAGCACTGAACTGGCCACAGCCACCTCCTTGCACAAAGATCACCTTGTAGTTGTCTGGCACAGCTCTGGGCAGAAGCACAGGTTAACAATACATACAGACTCATGTAGTCAAAGACGAAGAAAAAGTGCTGTCTTTACCTTGGGCAGATTATAAGAAACTCTCACTATTACTCCGTCTACCCCAGTCTAGTTATTTAGCTATGCCTTTCTTGGCCAGCTGTTTATTGAGGGCTACAGTGGAAGCCTATGGTTACTGTCTAACAGAAGCACCTCCTCCTTTACCTGGTAACAACAGCCTGCTGCTCCTGTGGGAAATCATCCCCGGGCCACTCAGTCCACCCAATGTGGCTAGCCCCAGCTCCAGATGAGCACATGACCCAAGCTGGCCCATGGGATCTGGTTCCGGGACCTGCTCAGTCTTCTCAGGTAAGTCTGGAAGAGCAAACCCTGTAAACCCTGGTGGCCATCTGGCAAAGTTAACACTTAAGAAAGCAGAGCCAAAAGCTGGGCATGGTGGTATATGGCTTATAATCCCAGCACTCTAGGAAGCTGGGGCAGGATGACGGCAAGTTCAAATCCAGCTTAGGCAACTTAGCAACTTGGTGGTACACTGTTTGAAAATAAAAAACGAAAGGTCTGGGGATGTAGCGAAGTGCCACTAGGCCCTGGATTCAAGCCCCAGTACTGAGAAGAGAAGAGAAGAGAAGAGAAGAGA